ATGATTTCATTAAGATAATACTATTGTGCCACATCCCTACATCTCGACCTATCTTTCTCTATAATACAATAAATATCATTCATTTACTCAGAAAGGTATCAATACTATTGGATCACTCTTTATTTATGTTAGTAAATAAGAAACATATATAATTTTCAATTGTCATTTTAGAGAATAATCAGAAATACTTAGCTACTTGACAAGTTAATGTTATTTTACAACTTGGTCTGTATTTCATGTTCATGGCAAGTGATAATTATCTATGGAAAACTTTACATGTATTTTTCTTTATAGTAATATTTGTATTTCTTTCATTCATATAGGAAAAGAACTGAGTTTCCAGAGAAAGTCTTGTTTTTTTATTAAATGAAAATAAAATATTAAATCGAATCAACTCAATATGAAAAGTCCTTCGGCTCTTCTTATGCAAATTATTTAAATTTGATTTTGTCAGACATGAAAGGGTTATCGAAAATTATTCATTTTCCACACCACATGTTATTTATGTGCAATATGTCAATTTAGAAATAGGTTTATACTATTTTGCTTTGACTTTTATAAAGAGATGAAACACATTTTTTGTATACATTTAAAGATTCAAGCGATTTACATCAGATTTCTAGAACTCTGATTGATAAAGAAAAATATTTTATTGATTTTCAAGCCTTCTTCTATTTAAAAGTAAGAAACGTGTAGACAGTATTTTTTTACAATGATTACAAATAAAATATATGTTAAATAAAACTTCAATTGTCTTCTTATGTAACTGTAAAATATCGAACAACTCTGTTCAAATGTCTTACTTAGATCAAGAAAAGATGACAACAATATGTTATTTTTGATAGTTTTTCTTAATTTGTTGCACTTATATATAACCTTAAAGGTTTCTAACTTTAATATAGTTGAATAGAGCATCGATTACTCTATCGAACTGGATAGTTTTTAGTCTGTTTTCTTTGAATCTCCTGCAAAAATCAGATAAGTTTTTACAAGCAGTCATCAACGATTTTTGCCTTCAGATAAATTTTTTGAGTGACTGCTTCTTACAAAGATACTGAAATTTTTATTTTTACAAACAATAATAGACTGTTCTTACTTCTAATGAACTAGATATATTTCATTGCACTTTTTATCTTTACTGTACACACAGTTTTTATAGATGAATTATGTTTTGTCAGTTTAAGCATATTCAGACTCATTAATCGTGTTCTTATGATTTACAGCAATGCCTTTTTTTTTCATTTACATAAAGTAGTATGTGTACTAGATTAATTGTAGAATTATTCGAACAAAACACATCAAAACTAAAATAGTTCATCTATTATCATGTTTCCATACCCTACTAATGCATAACTTAAAAATTGAATATTTCTGTCCATGTACGCCATACGCAGCTCATATTTTAAATTTGTTAGTTTCTCGTTGAAAGCTTTCTTTTGACCCGAATATGTCTAAGATTTTCGCTCAACAGGTCACACCCTTCCATTGTTAGATCAAGTGAAATAAAAAATAACAGCGTTTTTAGTCGGCCTAGAATAATTTCTCGATCATATGTATGTCATTTGTACAAAGAACTTCATTCAGAATTCAATAATGAATACCATACGTTAGTTAAAATGTTTTGCAAGTATTTCTTTTCTGTTTAAATGATATGAAACAACGATTTCAGTAAAAGTTGATCTTTATGAATTTCACATATGAAACTAGAAACTATCGTTCAGCATGTATTGTATGATAGGCAACTAACTTATAAACAAATCTTTAGAGCATTATATAAAATATTGATATAAGCTGAGTTATTAAAAAAGTGTTCGCAGAACATTTTGAACGATAGTGAGTATTTTGCAATTATTAGAACATGGTAGTTTTTCAAGTTGCATATTCTTAACCTTGCATTACACTTGAATATATTTAAATGATATTATCGATTTAACTATCAAGACTTTTATTGATAACCACATCTATTCTTCTTTTCGTATTTTGCCAAAGATAGAAGAAGATTTATTGAAATTCCTATTCCATATGACTGTTTTTTTTTTATCAATATAAAAGAAAACACTCGATAGAAGATCAAAGAAGAGCACCGAGTAAGAAATTCTATAGAAACATTTAGTTCAAAACATTGGATTTAGAATATTCTCATCGTATATATCAATAATATATTTCTCATATCGAATGAAGCATTAATGCTTCATAACAACATCATAAATCATATCAATCCTAAAAGTGAGGCTGTGAAGTTAGCTTGAAAATTTACAATCAAAAAAATTAAATTAAGTTTTATTACCTTGCTTGCCTGTGAGTAAATTATATACAAAGAAAATAAAAATGAGTACATATAGATGCGCTGGTCAAAGCAATTCTTAAGTAACTGTCTTACTTGTATTAGAAAGTAAATTTCTTATTTTTTCGAAATAAAAAATCGGTACTGGTATCTCTATAAGGACGGCTATGATCTGCTCGAAGATATTTTCGTTGTTTTCTAAGAACAATCTATTATGATACAAAGATCTAGAAAAGTAGAATGCTCATTTAAAATATCGAGAGATGTTTACAATCAAAAACTTATCAATGAAAAACTGCCACGCCAGTTAATTAAATATAACATATAATGAACTTATTGCAAAAAAAAGCGTAAAATACCAAATGTAATCCGCGAAATACTAACACTTTCTCATTAATTACCATAAGAATGATAGCCGATCAATTTGGTCAATTATTTCAACCATGTATTAAAACAGAATTTTAACATGACATACTATAAAACACATGGCCGGTTATCAGATGACAATTACACAAACTTTATGGGTATTCTGTCCATGAATCATTTCAAATCAAGTTTTTTAGATGCAAAAAATAATTTTCTATAGATGGACATCACACTCTTCTACCGAGCACATGTTCAATGAGAGATATTCTCTAGTAAACGTTGCTGCATGAACATATATGACAAATTCTTATGTAAAGGAATGTTTTAATTCATCATTCAAGTATGTTCAGTATTGTTGATGAAATGAAGAATATACTTTTGCATCAAAATGTACACATTCATTCTTACTGTACATACATCATAATGATCAAGAAAAATATTATATTTTTTGTTACTAGAAAAAGTAATTTCAGTTACATTTACATTATTGGAGAGTGTATGTCTTGTATTCAAAATATACCCAGTAGATCCGTGATGTATTTGTTAACATAGATTTCAATTCTGTACCTCACACACCTATTTGAAATCAATGAACATGTTTGGATGACTCATAAAGATAAAATTTCTTCTTACAATTAGTCATATATTTTGATGGTAAATTGTTTACGATAGATTTTCTAGTTACTTAAATATGTCTGATAGATAAGTATAGAAAATTAGTGCGAGTTCAACAACATAATCTATCTCTAATTAAACAATCGACACATAGCTGTGCAAAGAGTAAGAAAAACAATCGCATTGAGTAATCGAATAAGGTCAGGTATTTGATTATACAAATGTTATTTCAACAAACAACAACGGTTGAAAACAACTTTTTCATCATTATTGTCCTGTATTGTTAATTAATTTCCACATTCAATGGAAACTATCGATCGTCGATAGATAAAATCGATCTGCATATTAATGTTAATGGAAATTTTGTATCGTTCGCAGTTAATCATTAAATGTTGTTACCAAAGATTGCAACCATATGTCCAATAGGATATATGGTGGACATGTTGTCTTCTAATGAGCTTTGAATCGAGCAAAAATAAGACAAGTGATGAATTAAATTTTCTATGAAAAATGCTTCATAAGTGATTATTAATTGATCTCATCAATTCAATGTCTGTTATGACATTTCAAATACAATATTCGATGAAAAAATAAATTCTGAATGTTTTGATGATCACTAGCTCAAAAAAGAAATGGCATCAACGAATACAATACCAAGTTTGTGAAAAGCTTTTACTTATTTACACGTACAAAGAGACATTTTAAATTAATAGCAGATATCTTTTCAAAGCTCAATAATTGAAAGTATTTAGCATGTTAAAGGAATTCAAACAATGTTAGTGATTTAGATAAGGGATAAAATTCTATATATTAGAAATTTAAAGGTCTTACATATTGTCTTTTTTTCTGAACGCTTTACGCTCAATAATCAACAGAAAAAAAAATGTCATACAGTCTACCTTATTAAAGTAACACTGATCTAAATGAAGTGGAGAAGCAATACCACAGAACATTCTAGTCAACGAAAATTCTCAGGAGAGTATAAAGGATATGAATTCTATAAGAGGC